AGGCTCAACAATAACATTGACATTTTTTTGTAGATCACTGACTCAGCAGTGTCTTAGTGTTCGTTTAATCTGTAACTTAATCAGCGCCCCGACATCTAATTCACTGTACTAGGCAAGGCAAGGCAGCTTTATTTGTATAGCATGTTTCATACACAAGGGCAATTCAAAGTGCTTTACAGGGCAATACAATATGAAAGATAATTAAAGATGCAGATACTATAATTCACCATCTACTGCCCTTTGGAACTAATTTCAGACAAACCCACTGATCTCTTTTCCTGAACAAAGGTGGTAAGGATGAGGAGAAGCTTACTATTTTCTACAGTTTTTGGGTGTCACAGAGAGCTGGTGACCAGTGGCAGTGCCAGGTCGAACCTGTGTAATGGCAGCAACAGAAAGTTTCCTGATCCACTGGGGGAACGGGGTCTGGTCCCCTGGAGCTGGGGTTTGCACTGGCTAAACACAGGCTGCTATGGTTGCTGACTAGAGCTTAGATCGGGCCCAAAAAAATCCAGCCTGACCCCACCCAAGCCCATGAATATTCTGTCCGAGCCTGGCCCAGCCCGTCCCTTTAACTGTAACTTGCGAGCCCGAACCCGGTTTAAACCCAACATTTTTTTTAAGGATACGAACGTGGACATTGAAGGCTGACTCTCGTCTTTCTTTCCATGGCAAGCCTTCGTCATGTGCCTCTTAAGTGTCGAGGTCCCCGTCTTTTTGCTGTCATTTACCAGCATCGCACTGCACTTGGTACACTCGACGAAGCCGATACACACGTTGTCACTGTCGACAACTCACTTGAGCCTTGGTACTATTATGAGGAGCCTGACCCGTCTGAGCCTGAGGATAGTGGCCGGGTCGGACCAGGTCCGGGTCGAGTTCGGGCTCGGGCAGAGAATCTAAGCTCTATTGCTGACAGGGGGCTCGTCTCCGGAGCAGCTGCCCGCTCTCGTCTCTGCAAGGTGGTCTGTAGCGGTGGGGAGTGAGGCGGAGGACATTCAAGGCTGATTCAAGGCTCTAGCTAACATTAGCTGCATAAACGTAAACTTGAAGCTGCAGCTAGGAACCTTTAGCTCCGGTAGGCAAAAGGTTAAACTAATGGCAACATCCTATTGCCATCTCTGAAATGTTTTGTTGATATTGACAGCTGTTTTGTTTTGTTTATTGTCAGACACTCTTTTAGACCAGTGGTTCCCAACTGGTCCAGCCACAGGGTCCAGATTTCTCCTCAGTCATGAGTTCAAGGTCCACACAGTTTAATATATTCGGTGTCATACTTGTGTTTGGCCATCTTCTCAAGCTAGTTTGCTGTCTCTGTCAAGTAGCTGTCAGTTATTCACTCACTCTACAGCAGGAAATGACAATTCAAAATAAAAGCGCTGTGCTGGAAATTCACTGTACTTCAAAATTAAGTGGTTTTTTTTACAAACTTGACACGTTTGCGAGTCACTTGTGATCCATTCATTCCATTGTGGACCCACAACCCAATTTTGGACCGTGACCCACCAGTTGGGAACCACTGTTTTAGACTCTCTTTTTGAGAACTTTGTTTTCCTGTTTTGGGTTGCTTTGCAGTGTAGGCAGTCGCTGCCAATGCTGGAATGTTAAACGTCTTTGCAGGATTCTAAGCCACTGACCGAAGGGACATTCACACTCACCTGCATTCATAGGACATCCAATAGGAACACCCTCTGTTTAAACTGCCCTGTGATTGGCCAAAGTCTCCTATCACAGGCTAGATTTTGTAAATCCTGAGAACAGAGCCAAGAGGAGGTGCAGAATTCTAGTTTTCTCTCAGTCCACTTGAATTTCAATATGCTTAAAGTTTATAATGAGATCTCAAAATGAAACTGCCTACCACAGCTTTAACTGTGTGAACAAATGAAGACTAATTACATCTGTGATTAGTAATAAATATATGGATTACACTGAGTAATCATGTAGAAGCTCATGGTGTCATCTCTGAAACTGAAGAATACATATATTCAGGATGATCTGGTGAACAATGAAGGATAAACTTTCCAAACTTTGAGTGACTATAACATTTCCTTTTCAGCTGAAACACCACTGTATCTCCCTCCCTGTTTGAATTTATAAACTCTTTTCACATTTCACTGATATGGCTAAAATTGGAAAGTCATCAAGCAATAAATAGTACTTTGAGGTGGCAACAATCACCGCTATCATGTGTTTTTATGAATCTGATGCAGAAATGTGAAAACTGAAGCGGATATTTGTCCACGGCAGAATAGAGGTGATAAAGGCTGACTAGCTCCTCTTGATTATTCATGGTGGTAATAGATGTGAGAGCTGCAGAGAGAGAGAGCTGGGATTTTGGAGACGGGAACAATGGTGGCTGCCATGAAACATGAGATAACAGCGAGGTGGAGGGAGTGAGGGAGGGAGTCTTTTACAATGGCTCCTAATTGGCCTGCACATGCCCAGTAGACCTGCCCTGAAAAGACCCTGTGTTCTGCTGCTTTACAGAGAAAATCCTGTGTCGTGTTTTAGGGTTTGAAAATCTGGAGATGGATGTGTGTGTGTTTTTTAATACCTGAGAAAAAAATATGAACCCTAAAGTCGAGCCTCTTAAATTCTCCTAAGGTGTGAGGCATTTGGCCAGAAATGCTTGTGTTTAGACCGTGTTTTTGAAATTCAGGCTGTTTTACTTTTCAAGATTTAAATGCACTTGTAATTCTGAAGAAAAACCTCACACCTGGGGCCAAGTGTTCACAGCTTTATACCGAGGGTTGCTTTTGAAAAATGAAAAATGTTCAACCAAAGTGAAATACTGCTCAGAGTCCAAATATCTCAAAATGTAAAGGAAAAGCTCACACCAAAATGAGAATTCAGTCATTATTGATTCACCCCCATGTTAGCTGAAAAGCCATTGAAGTTTGCAGGATGATGAAAGACATAGCCAGTTAGCTTTCAGACTTAAATCTCAGCCTTGTCCCCGAACGACTGGCATTATTTTACTGCCCCAAAAATCCTGGCTACAATGAAAAATAGCATGTTTTCCTAAAACCCAAGTATTTAGCGAGCAGTTTTCTGCAAGGGATGATACGACATTATATCTTTTTAATGATGTTGTCATCCCCACATTGTTCCTCAACCTCCCCCCACAAAATGACGTGATGACCCTCTTCTCTCTAAACAACCTGCGCACTCATGAGACTGTGAGAATAATTTGAATACTGAATCATTACACCAGTGTCTAGCCAGTGAAAGCTGACTCTTTCACGCTCATGAATCCAAGATTTGGGCTTGAGCCTTGAGGTTATTCCTGTTATGCATCATCGCTAATACATTGTAACTTCCCGTTCTCTACAGTAACAGAGTTGAGCCTTTTCTGGGTGTGGAGTGCAAGACTGGACAGGCACACACCCACACATGCTGAGTAATTCATGACAACTGTCTCGATCTCATGAACGTGCCAGATAGCCCGAGGCGTGAGCTCTGCTGTGAGACATTCATTTCCGTCAAATACCAGCGAATCACAACAGTCGTTAGATACAATACACACTGCCTGTAGGGACGATGACACTGAGCTGAGTTTGTGGCAAAAGTTCGAAATTTGCATTTAGAAATTTTAGAATGACACCAAGAATGGAGATTCTTGTTTTGTTGCAACTCATCTGTTGTGACGTGGGGATTGTGAAATATAAACTTACAAGGAAACACTGATAAGCATTGTTTTGTGCTTTTCCTGAACCACGTGTCATTTATCATGTCACTAAGTGAGATCTTGAATTATTTCCAGGGTATTTCCCCCAACTGTCAGATATCAGATTCATGAATGCTGTTTCACATGGTGTGCAGAGTGGTGTCACTATGTTTCCTATAGTTAAACTGTTGGTTGAACTTTATGATATAGCAACGTGAGGGATTGTTGATGGTCTGTTGCATCTGTTTGTTCATATTTTATGTAAGACCTGTGCTCTCTATCTTACAAAGACTTGTTACCCTCAGCCATCTTAATTGCACATCAAGGCCAGGTAATGGCATTCTTAGATTTACAGGAATGTGGCAACTTCTTTTTCCTTTTTTTTCATTTCTGTTTTTTAAATTTGATGTTTTTGAGTACTTTTGAACTTAGATAAGAACATTGTTTGATATAAAAAATAATTTTACTTAACTAGTTTTCTTATTTGGGTGTTTGTTTCTATCTCCGTGTCTCTCTTTATATTTATATATAAAGAGAGACAGTTATATATATGTTTCTCTGTGCATGTTGTCTTTGTTCCTATATGTCTTTTAGTTCTCTTACATGTATGTATGTATGTATGTATGTATGTGTGTAAGCACGTATATGTGTATATATTTACATCTACTACTGACTGTAATGAAAAGGTCAAGTATATCTGTTCTACTTTCTTATGTATTGTATTAGACATTAAGCAAGCAGATATGAAAACTATCAGTGTATTTAATTTCTTAAAGTTTAAATCCATGCCTCCTTCCACTTTTGTTAGTTCCACTGTTTTCCCACTGGCAACATGTATCTAAGGAGCCATAGAAAAAGATGACTATACATTTAGCCTTTTCTGGTACTTCGTACTGTCATTTTTGTTGTGTTGTTGTTAACACCTGGCTGCCATGTATTGACTCATGGCCTTGATGAACATTAAAGTGCAGCAAACATAAGATTTAGGCACATCAGTGGTGTTTGTAGTTATTTTATTTGGTATTACACAGAACTAAAGGGGGAAATGTGATCATGCAGTAACTGATGCCATCGTTCCTGCAGTTCATGCGCTTCCAGCAACAAGTATCTAAAAACAAATTAACTTCCCGAAAAACTAGATTTTTTTTTCCCTGACTGTTTGTGTGTCGTGCCTGAGGAAGAGAGTAAAAAGCGTGAGAAAGTGAGGAGGAGGGTGTGTTCACAGGTGTGCCAGCCCTCTCCTGTGTGTGTGTGTTTGTGTGTCACCAGACATTGTTGTACTGATGTAACACCTACCTGCTGCTGTGTATAAAAGACAAGGCATGATTCATCCACTTCATTATTAGTTTAGTGTGCCAAATAGTTCCTGTTCACTAAGAGTCTACTTCAGTCCATGGGTGCGTCACAAGTTTCTGGTATGAAGATGAGGAATCTTCTTTTCGGGCTTATTTTTGGACTCCTTGCTGTTGTCCACTCAACACCTGTTGATAGTAAGTGAAAGTTTTTTTCTTATTTTGTCAGTTTTTCACAGTGTATCTCTCTTAAACACTTAAACCAACACTATTTTAGCTTAATATCAGTATGATTTTATTAGATATGTGATTTTGTCTCAGAGGATTTCACTCCGGAATTAAGACCCAAATCTAGGCAGATTTTTTCCTGGTTATATCCTCATGTAAGATATTCACAGGTGGTATATTCACTCAATGAACTTCTTTGGCAAAATGACATTCTTCACAGGAGAGGCCATAGTTATGGGTTTTACAGTCTGACAAATACAGCAATTCTTCTACACAGACCTCTGAAATTTCAATAATTCCCATGGTGTCCCTTTTCTTACCCCGTGAGTCAGCACTCCCCTCCTTACCTAAGATGCTCTTTATGTTTCAGGTCTAACTCCTTCTGCAAGAATTCCAGAGTAGTATTTCATTATCGCTGCACAGGTTTCACTGGCACCTTCAGATTACACACAGAGATCTTTGTACAGTGTTCTGAGCTGCTCCAGGAGGTGCATTAATGCGTGTGTCTGGAGTAAGGTGAAACCAAAGATTGGCAAAGAGGTGTTACACAAGTCTGGGCAACTTGGTAACCTCATAGGGAACATGGGAGCTGAACGTGACAGGGCAGAGATGGAAAGTGGAGATGTGTGATTTGATTCTTGGGCCGTTTCATTAAATCATCAATGAATTCACATTTTCTTTCTTTCTTTTTTCTAACTCTATTAAGATTTTTTAAAGCAATAGATGTTTCTTATTATAGTCAGGCATGGGAGAAATATATGGATCATTTACTTAGGTAAAGGTTTTAATAACACAATGTAAAAATACTCCATCACAAGTACAAATCAAGTGTTTAAGATACTATTTAAGAAAAGTACAAAAGTATGATGAGTAAAATATATTTAAAGTATCATAAGTCTGGTGCCCACTCTGGTGCCCCAGACTCAATTCCAACCCATGGTCCTTTGCTGCATGTCGTTCCCCATTTTTCTCCTCCTTTCACACTGTATCTGTCCCATCAAATAAAGGCAAAAAATCTCCCCAAAAAATAGCTTAAAGTATCAAAAGTTAAAGTATATATTCCACTGATGGAGTCGCTGATAATATAATACATTATATAATTAGATTTTTAATACTTTTGTAGCAGTAAGTAGCATATTTCTGTTGCTGGTCGAGCTGTAGCTTGTCTTCGTACTTTATACAATTAGCTTAGGCCAGAGGTTCCCAAGAGGAAGTCGCAAGAGGTCGCAAGATAAACCCGAGGGGTTATGAAGTGATTAATGGGGCTTAAAGAAGAAAAAGTTCTGCCACACACATTTTGTAATTATTTATCCTCTAAACTTTGCCTTTTTAAAATACGAAACACTGATGTAGTGGAGTAGAAGAATAAAGCAGCATACAATAGAAATACTTAAGTAACCTGATAATTGTAGCCTACTTAATTACAATTCTTGAGCAAATCCTAAATATTAAATACTTTATTTCCACTACTCATTATGGTAATATGCTCTGAAATATTACCATATGTGCCAATGAGCAAAAAGGGAGAATATTTGCATTAATTATACTTTTTCTTATTTTGTCCTCCTGCTCGCACCAAAACTCTGACAATGGCTTCCTTCCAGAGAAAACAGAGAAACAGAACAGTCATGGTTTACTCTGTTGCAATGGGTGTGTCCAAAGAGTGGTATGCTCTTGTTGAACTGATGCTTTGATGAGCCTGCCTCTCTTTTGTTAACCCACTCAGACGATTAGTCACTCAGGTTAATCATTACTGTCCCTCACCACACCTCATCAAAGAAGAACATAACGCAGGTTTATACAAGAATTTGGGGCGAAGCACATAAGCCCTGTGTGGCAATTTTGTAATACATGAATAGGGCTTGGTAACTTTCCTTTCCACTCATGTCAGGGCTGGTAGTCAAACACTTAAGGTGACCTGTGGAATTTTCTGTCTCTCCTTGTCCTAGCTGTGACCCAGATCCCCGCCAAAGCTGAGGATGACATCCTGAGAGAGGCTGTGACGGACGGCTTCCTCGTCGAACACCCTTTTACCCCCTCACGCACAACGGAATCACCCAAAAGAAACACAACCGTTCAAGCATCCCAGCAGCCGTCCACTGACTCCAAACAGGATGACATGATTGAGGGCAGTGGGACTGACTTTGAGTCCATGACCTCTATTTTCCACAAGTTTGCAAGTACAACTCCGCATGTGTCACACGCTCAGAGCTCCACCTCCACAGTGTTGCCAGGGAACACTGACAGCTCCAGTTCACATTCATCCACCACCCAAAGCCTTCAGTCCACCACTACGTCTAGTCCAAATGAAGGGCCAAATGAAGCCCAGCCAAACGTCACCCCCGATCACATCTCGCATTCTCAAACTACTGACCCCGCTGTCTCCAGCTTTGGGTTCCCGAGCACCCACAGCTCTGAATCAGGGTCTGGTGTTGGAGGGATGCTTGGCCATCATTCCAGTACAACCACAAGTATGACCTCTAGCTCCAGCACAGAAACTAGCGCTGCATCATCAAGCTCCACTGCTGCTTCTGTCACACCTAAGACTCCAGTAATGTTTGCAGGAAATGAAGGATCAGGATCAGGCGAAGGATTGGGATCAGGAATGTACAGCACAGATAAAGAACCAGTGTCACCCGCCACTGAAGAGCGAAATATATCAACAGTGCCTGAAGCTCCAGCCATCATTCGAGGTAAATATCCTGTTCCTTTTTCAATAGTTATGCCTACAATCACTATCACAATGTCTTTATTTATTGCCTGTTGAAGATTTCTAACCTGTGTTTTTCTGTCCTTAGTTATACAACCACAACAACAGCCCAGCCCGACGGAACCCAGGAACAAAGGACACACTACACCAGGTGAGTCCAAAAATACACTGCTTTTAATAAACCAGATTTTTGCATTTTTAAACATGAAAGTCCATTTTATTAACTCCAGCTCTCCCATATCTCCAGGTTGGATCATTATCCTTGGTTTTATTGTTGGTCTTGCAGCACTAATAATGCTCTGCGTTGCCATCGCCACCAGAGACAAGTAAGACTTTATAATCAGGGGGAAAAAATCCTCCAAACAATATTTTTGTCTTTAACTTTTCTGAGTGTATAATTAAATTCTTACTGGTTCTTTGTGCGCAGGTGGAATGGACCAAGCAAGGCATCCCAGCTTGTGAGCAAAACTAACTCCTCAAACCAGCAGAGGGGGCTAGAGATGGAGACATTCCTGCACAAAGACCAGCCCAGGGAGAACGGAAAGGCGTCAGAGTACACAGTCATCCCCCTGGATGAGCTTCCAGAGAAATGTTCATCACACTGAGGTTCAGAAACGGATCCTCTGGAGGCGTGAGACTCATCACAGAACCACAAGAACGTATTTAAAGCAGATGAATTTGATCAGAGGAGCAAAACTATTTGGGCTGTTGAGCAAAAGGTTTCTGTGGACTCTTACAGCTCTGAGCCAAGTCTGACCCAGAATCTTGATATTCCTGCTGACTCTCAAAAACTCTAATATCTTTAATCTGAAATTACATCAATATTTTGGTTGATGCATTTATTGTCATATCATCTCTTGCATTAACTGTAAAATATAAAACTGGTCGGTTATCATCCACAAATGCCATTTATTTCAAAACAAAGACGTTACAGTGTTTTATTTTTTGTACATATTTAATGTTTAAAGTTTTTTTTATAATGGATGCAAAAAAATGATTCAGCGTCCAGTCTTAAAGTGTCTTTGTTGTATTATTATGTTATTTTAAATCTCCTTGTAATAATATTATTGATGACTTGTGTTGTAACTTATATTAAGCTGCTCTGTTGTTACCCCCACATTCATTAAAGAAGCTCTGAGTGCTGAACAGTGCTCAGCCCACTAACTTATTAGCCAACCTACACAGCCCTTCGGCTGTTGTAACAGGCGCTCAGTGTTTGTTCATATTCTGGATCACACCCTACCACATCTGAGAAAAAACAACAACACACAACTGCAGCTCATCAATAACCGTTTATTTTGTTTCCATTAATATTTACACACAAGTATTAAAACATTTACACACTTTCAGTCCATTTGCCTGACAAATGGTGTTTGTGCTCTGTTATAGTTTATTTAGTATGAGTGCATTCAATCCTGCTTGTATTTAGTCAGTCACAGTCAGAAGACGTTTTGCATTACAATGAATGTCAGACACAAGGAAAATGTTGAATACATTATTGGACCAACGTGTGCATAGAATCAAAAAGAAAGATAGAAAATATAGGTTTTATGATCTAAATATTATACAGTTTCACATTTTCATAGAAAACACTTGCTACACTAGGCCAGTAGGCTACCAACATATTCTTATTTAGATCAAGGCCCAATAACAAATGGAATAGATGGAAAAGTGATACGATGAATTAATAAATAATGGGTTTTTGCCATAAATCAGGATAATTTTTACTGAGGAAAACTCTCTTTAATTTCGGAGGAATGTGGCGCTTGAGCCAAACACTGGATGGCTGGCAGAGGTGTCACAGCGTGTAGATGTGCTGTAGCTGCCAACACCAATATTCAACATGCCCAAAACTGCCTTAATGTGCCCATAAGCCTTAAATAATCAATAACAACATTCACTCATTACACAGGTGAGAGATATTGGGCTTTCTTCCCTGGAAAACATTTGGAGCTCAGGTATCTCTTTAAAAAACAGATAAATTGAATGCTTTCTTTGTAAATAAATAACCCTAAGTTCACAAACGTTCGAGACAACTAGTCGCCTATATATGTAAAATTAAAGGTCCAGTGTGTAGGATTTATGGGAATATAATGGCAGAAATGGCATATCATATATTAATTATGTTTTCTTTGGTGTATAATCACCTACAAATAGGAATCGCTGTGTTTTTGTTACCTTAGAATGAGCTGTTTATATCTAAATAGGGAGCACGTTCTCACTCAAAACTGCTTTATTTTGTAATTTTATAGGAATCTCTGGAGCTATTTGTTTGGGAGAGGAGGAGACCTCTGCTGATAACTCAGCTCAGGGTGAAAACTTCCTACACATCTGGATCTTAGGTTATCAGAGAAAAAAGGGCGAGCACATATTAGCAGTTGCTGGGCCAGCAGCCCATCTCAAACATGCCAAACACCATTGAAGAAACACTGATTTGTAACATGAACTTGCATTATTGTGTAATTTTACCAGTTTCAAATCCGGGTCTGTTTGCTTTAGAGACAGGTGGACTTCTGTGGATAATTCGGCTCACTCATCGGAAATCAATCTAGAGCAGAAATACGATGAGCACCAATTTAGTTAACAGAAACCATATGTGAGCACATGTGCAGGTGCTGGGCATGTAAGCCTTCTGCGACATGCCAAACAGGGTAGGAGAAACACTGATTTATAACACAAATTTGCCTTATTCAGTGTTTACCAGTTTCAGTTACCTGGTCTGTTTGTTTTGGAGAGTAAGAGACCTCTGCAGATAATTCGGCTCCTATTAAAGACCACCTGAACAATGAACACTGAAGGAATTCTAGCAGGAAAAAGTTTCAACTAGCTGCAATCTGCAATCCTCACCACTAGATGCCACTAACTCCCCCTAAAGCTCACACACTGGACCTTTTACATTGCACTAAGAGTGTAACATATATATAGTTATAGTCTTATAGAAACTTTTAGCATAGCAAAAACAGTTCTGATAGATGACATAAAATGTCAAATTCTATATACATTTGATTTATACACTAAAGAGAGTATATACACAAAGTGCAAGGAGGCACTTTAAACATGATTATATAAGCCATCGCTTATATGAAAAGAGAAATAAATAATCCCGTTTTTACCTTTGTTTGAACAGAGATGCTACAAGGAGTTAAACTCAAAAACATGTACACATGCAGCCGACATCCAATGACCTTGTTGTTACGGCTTCAGATTTACGCGGGCGCTGGAGGCAGAATTTCATGTGTATTTGCTAAACAGACGCGATCACAGCCAGTTAACTTTACATGTTATTACAAGCCAGTTATTCACATTTTTAAGAAATGCTGTATAGTGCAAAATCTAAGTGATAGCTTGTGAGGAAGGCCCAGCCGCCCTCGCTCTGAGTGCAGTAAAGCTGGGGGAACTGGAGGAGCTTTACTTCTACTAAAGAATCACAATATTCTACTCAAATGAATAGTGGTAACTTATATCCAGAAATGTCATCACACTGAGTGCACTCTGCAGTTGACGTAGTCAAGGCAAGGTTGTCATATAGCAAAGAAATTAACAGTTTGAAATAAAACACAGAGCAATGCACTGGCCTGCTGAGAGTTTGAGAGACACTCGCACCTTTTTCTCATGTTGAACCTCCAACTTTCCTTTCTTGTTAATCTCTCTCTGCTCTCAGAGACACACATGAACACACAGACATTGCAGTACACAGGCATATTTTTTGACTACAGACAGAAACTCAGTGCTTCGCTCATAAAGAACATACATACAAAAATAAATAAATAAATAAATGCGAGGGCACCCTTCACATGCTCTGCGGTGTGCTTTACAGCTTTCCACAACACATCCTGTACTGTTTATTGCCACATTTAGAGGACACACCCTCTGCTCTTATGCTCTAAGTCCTAAGCTGTGCTTCTTAGGCTTGTCCATGTGTGTGTGACATCAGGATGTAATCCCATAAGTCAAACAGTCAAAGGTAACGGAGTGTTTAACCATCACTTACATCATAATGCCACACAAAGCACTGTATCCTTCAGTTCATGATCTGTTTTCATAGACACAGCTTGCATTATTTTAAACCTCTGCTCCGGTGTTAATGGACATGTCAGAAGAGTACAGAGCATCTCGGAATACACAAATACACACTGATAATACCAGCCATTCAGTAATGACGTCTGATCTGTAACATTTGTTCTGAGTCCTTTACGCCAGCTTCTCTTACATGGTCCTTGTGTTAAATGTAACTGGCAAAAACAATCATCCACGTATCATCTCTCTGCCCTTTAAGCTACAAAGAAAATGCTTCAATATAAAAGAAAAATGAGATGTTGCACAAGGTTGATGAATTCTTTCGTTGACAGAACAGGAAGCTTGCAGCAACACCAAGTAAGGCCCTGAGTGTTGTCAACCGAATGATTTATTCTTCCCTACAAAGTGCATGAAATGCACCAGTTCATAACAGTTTGTGTCTACTTAGTGCAAATGCAAGATCTAATAAGAGTTCATCTGTAGTTTTGCTCCAGTGGCCACCCGGATGGGTAGCTGAGATAAAAAAGACTGGCCGACAGTTCATTCTTGTAGTACAGTTGACTCTGCTAACGTTCACTTTTTTTTCTTCTTTTGTGATTTTTTTTTTGGTTGATATTTACAGTTGTGTCAGCAGAAAGTAAAAGCTGTTGGAACTCAGGGTAAGGCGCAGCAGCATCTGGATCTGCTTTACTCGCATTTCCATGGTCCCTCCTCAACAAGAGAGAACTCTGCAGTCTTGCCATTTTTGCCCATGGTGACCTGTAAGCAATTATCAAGAACATCTAACTATTGGGCCAAGGCACCGTCATTTACAAACTGTCACCGGTTGGGAGCAGAGAAGCCATTGCATCATTACATTCAAGTCATTGACCTTGGGGCAGAGTTAATGTGTCAGTCCCCAGCATTGAAAAACATGTTACCTCATACACTGATACAATGATACAGTGATGCTGTTCACATATTGATGTGGTTTGTCAGTTACAGGGTTATATAAAAACCAGGATAATTAGAGCTTTTCAGAGTTGGCCATGTATTTTATGGATTCTCTGCCCAACCGAATTACAATACTCAGTCATCAAAAATAATGAGAATGCAACTTTAGCATCAGCATGCAATAGTTGCATCATACAGACAATGAAATATCAACAAAATTCTACTGTATGAGTGAAAGACTCAAATAACAATGATTCTGCTCTCATTTGTTAACTACAATATTGATAGGAGAGGATATTTGATAGGCATTTCATGAATGTATGCATTACTTTGGATGAAACACAGTGAAAGCAGTCTTTATGTATACCACTGGTTACAAAAACTCGGGAAAAAATCATTGGAAACTGTAATTTGGTAAGGGCTGCCACAAATACATGTCCAATTAAGTAGGCGAAAGAAGAAAAAAAAGAACAGATTCCTTATAAAATGAAAACATACCACAGAGGAATACAAGTCAAATATAATTGTGTACAAGACAATGCATTTGGAATGGTTGATGCTTACAAGTAAACACTTTCATTTGGATTTCATGAGAGTAAAACAGAGTTTTTGAGGATAATAAACAAAAGTATAATATAAAAAAAGAACAAACTTTGGTTTTGTTGAACCTGGTACCACAAAAACTGCTTTTTCAAGATTGTCCTCCCCCCAAAAATAGCCCCATAGGTTGTTTGTGCAAGCAGCTAATTACAACCCACATTTATGTTTATTGTTAGGTGGTGACCTCTAGTGTTGTAATTCTGCGTCACCTGACTTCCTTCTAAAGGAGGAAGTTGGGGTGGATGTACGGGTCAAACAAACACAGGACTTCGACCCAGGAGACCGCTGTTTGTGTCCTGTGTGAAACCAAAAATCAGCATGAAGTTCTTTTATGCGGTGGGTTCACACTACATGACATTTTCGTCTGTTCCGACAGTCACCATGTCAGATTAGATGATTGTGGAGTCATAATATCGTCCCGTGACTTGGCCAACAGACATGATAGACTGCGTGTTAGCCCACGACCAATCATTGCTGGTCGTCTCTCACGACGCGTGTGATGTCGTTGGATTATTCTCATCCTATTTTTATTATTATTATTACGATTATTTTAGTCACTGTGGGTGTTCGTGTGCCAGCCAAAATGTTATTGTAGTAATGTAAAAAAAAAATGCCACTAGGTTCACAACAAGTTCCTGCAAATTTTTCACAATAAAAGCCTTTTTAGAAAATGAAGGGATTCTTTCAACCGAAGTTATGAGGGGCTTTTAATTTGAAACAGATACAGGAAGTGTTGAGTTTGAAATGACAGCATGATGCATTAACTTTAGTAAGGTGAATGAGAGCGGATAAAAAGTAAAAATATAAAAATACAGAGGGAATAATATATAAAAGGTCCAGGTCTAATGTAGTCTGTTTCAAATGAAGCTGGTACCCTCTGCAGTTGTGGTCAGTAAATTTCTTTCTATTTCTTAAGTTTATTACTTTATATCCTCCATTATGACGATGAAATAACATTCTTTACTGGCTTGATGCAGCAGATAGCTCTGTGTTTCTATTGGTCCAAGTGACGGATGTGACAGAAGAAGTCATGATCAACAAAAAGAAAATTAAACATGCTAGACTTTCTGTTGGGATGTCGCGAGGCATCCCAGACGCTACATCGGTTGTCGTCTATTATGTCACGCTACACGAGATGAAACGATGGATTATCATGATCGGAGCCGACACCGTTGGATGCTGTGTTGGGCTATAATCAGGCTGATATAGTGTAGTGTGAACCGGGCATAAAACAAAGCATGTAAGCTAACTAATGTAACATACTTAACATATGTAACATACTTATCTTAACTCAAACCATGATGTTTTCCTAAACCTAAACCGAGTAATAAATCTAACCACGTTAACTAAGTGTTGAAAAGTGCAATACAAACTGTTTTGGCAAATGACCTATTCTGTTGTTTAGGGATGAGGATGTGTTGATCTCTTGTCACCAGCAATTGAGGAAATGCTCCTGTGGGTTGTATTAGAGGGTCGGCACAAACAACCTATGTGGCTGTAAGGGTTGGAGGACTTGTTGGCTCTTTCATGAATAACAGGTGAAGATTTTCCACCCTTTTTTAAAAACCTTTTTTCAATGAAAACATGACATTTACTATTCACATAGACACCAAAAACAAAGATATAAGAAGTCACATAGAAAAGAAACACAAACACAGAAAGGAAAAGAAAGACGAACACAGACACAGAGCTGGGGAGGACTCTCTACATACAAGTCTCTATGTCCGTTAATGTGAAATGTACCTTGCAGTCGTCTATCAAGATTGAGTTGTGGTGAGCGTATACATTCTGGTTGGTGTTATTTTCATAGAAGGATTGTGTCTTTGCCATGTCAAAGTCCTCCATCCGGGCCTGTTGGTCGTAGGAGTCCAGCTCGTCTTTGGAGAGGTGGTAGACGATACCCGCTCCATAGGAGTCCCCGACCACATTCACTGAGGTACGGAAACGATCCCTGTGTGTTGAGGAGGACAGGGGCGTGGAAGATACAGGAATATAATTAATGAAATAAACAGAGAACAAGATTTTTAATTTTAAGAAATGTTTGTTATGTTTCTGGATCAACACAGACATGTCAGCAAGTCAATGAGTGGGCATAATGAAAGTAAAACTCTACATCTACAAAAACAAAATGTTGCCGAAGCCTGACAGTCAGAGTTGTATGGAGTTTTTACACCCCAAAACATATGTTAAAGAACGGTACAACATGCTCGCTCTGTAATGAGGGTGACAAAAACTGTTTCAAATACATTAAAAAACCATTCAAATGAAATGCAAGCATCTGTTTTGATGCTACTTTGGCCACTGCTGTAGTTTAGCTCTGCATTGTACTCATTCTGTGCATGCACATGTGCTGCTCTGACAAGAAATCCAAAGAAAATTAACTGAAGTAGAAAATGAAATTCACATAGGCCTCATTAAAAAGTGAAAGGATACTAGAGGAGGATTTATTGGCAGAAATGGAACATACTATTCATTACTGTTTTCATTGGTGTATAATCACCATTAACTGAGAACAGTTGTTTTTGTAAGCTTAGAATGAGCCCTTCATACACACAGGGAGCAGGTCCTCTTCCACGGAGCTCGCCATATTGCACACCAACACATTCTCACTTTGACCTCGTCACATATTGTCACAGACATTTGGTCATGAACTTTACTTTAACAAACCTAGAAATTACAAACCTGTGCACGGTGTTGGAATGTGTCTGTCTGTTTTCAGTAATAGCATTTGTGTTGATGTTACTTACAGCAGCCAGTCGACAGCGACCAGGAGGCTGATGTCCTGAGTGGGCAGACCCACCGCTGTGAGGATCAGAAGCATGGTCACAAGTCCAGCACTGGGGATACTGGCTGCTCCAACGCTGGCCAGGGTGGCTGTCATACTAAATATGAAGCAAAGACAGCTCTCAGCAGGAGGACAAACCACAGGCTGCAGGGCTCCATCACACCATTGCCACAAAGCACTGTTAACATTCAGCCACTGTGTTTCTAATACTAATGGTATAATGACAAATTAAATATTTGATATAGCCAAACTAATCATTCAAACGATGTATGAAGTGTATGAGTCTACAGTACACAAACATAATTAAGATAATTATCTTTATCAAACTGATTGTTAGATTGATTATGAAAAACATGTCTATAACAAATAAAGTTTTCTCTAAGTTATGTCAGATAAAGTGACTCCATTATTTTATTTTATTTTTATTTATTATTTCATTTTATTCTATTTTACTTATTTTCCATTTTATTTTATTTAATTTTTTAATTTAATTTTTAATTTCATTTAATTTTTTAATTTAATTTTATTTTATTTTAAGGTTTTTATATAATTGTGTAGCTTCCCAGTAGTGTTGAGTGTTTAAAATTCAAATTTTGGTTAAAGTATGTGTGTTTTAGAGTCAAAATGCCATTTTCCCAAACCCCTCAAAAACTTTTCCCATGTGACCTGTTGCAGGATTTGGCATGATGGTGTTACTGCAATACATATAAACCCCTGTGCTGCTGTGGACGCCACGTTGGTTTGGTTCCGAAAGTCACACAATAACACAAACAATCTAAACGATTGAGGCAGCGGGGAGAACAGCAACTCCCGTGTGCTGTGAGGTAGAGCACAAGATGGCTAAATGGCTGTGCTCTCCGATCTCAGAACATGTTTTGTACTGAGGGTATATACAGAGTTTGGTAAGTAGGCATTTATGTATGCAGCTCCTTATATGTGGAATCTTCTGCAGAGGGACTTAAAGTTGCTTCATTGGTTCCTCTCGGCTGTTTCAAAGCTCTGCTGCAGGATTTTTGTACACAATCTTCTATATGACAATGTCAGGGTGTATCTTAGCTGGTCTTTGTAACCATGTGTAGTTGCCCTTTTTATTCTGTTTTTTTATTCTATGTTGTCTGTCAGTAACTTATATTGCTTCCAGTCTTGGCCAGGATACTCTTGAAAAAGAGTTTTTTTAATCTCAAGAGGTTTTTCTGATTAAATAAAAGAAAAAAAAAACAACAAGGAGTTGCTAGTCTATCACTGCCTCTGATTCGTTTGCTTGTTTGTGTTATTTTGTGACTTTTAGAGTCAGACTAACATGGTGTCTATGGTGTCACTTTTTACGGAGCAAAATGTATTTATACAGTACAAATGCAGCATATTATATTGAATCTCAATGTGTCATCTGGTTGAAAAAAGTTTTAATAATGATAAAACAATGCCATCTACCATCTCTGAGCTTCAATCTTCGAAGCTAACATTTACAATGACATTGTAAAATGTCAATAACTCTGCCCTTTAATTTTTTTTTTTACTGTACCCATGTTTCCCATTTGTAATATTATCTTCATTCTTTTGCCTGTGCAGATTTTAAGAGAAAATTCATCTAATTGATAGCCAAAATGTTACCTTGCAAATGTGCTGTGATATCTGCATCTCTAGCCACATTCTCACCTGACAGTAACAATCTGGCCCCAGTCCAGGACAATTCCATTCATCTGAGCGATGAAGATGGCAGCCACAGCCTCATAAAGCGCTGTGCCGTCCATGTTGATGGTGGCGCCCACTGGGAGGACAAAGCGTGTTACTCTCTTGTCAATGCCCAGGTTTTCCTCTAAGCATCGGAACGTGACAGGCAAAGTCCCGGCACTGCGGAAAAAAATTACAGGAAAAATTAGTTTTTGTTATGACAGTCACGAACAACATGCAGTGAGGTTTAGTTTGCAAAGTCTGCACCCAATTTGGCACTAAAAACTTGCAGAAATAAAGAACTCTACAACTAATTATTACGGACTGTCCATTGAGAATTAATCTGACTGGGTCACACTTGATGCTGCAATAGTTTTTAAACTTAATTACACTATTCTTCTATTCATACTGACATAAATCCACTCTGAACTATGGTAATTTATTCATTGTTAATTTGTTACATAAAATAGACTAATATAGGCTAAGGCTTTCATGAGTTTTACTTCACCATAGAAACAAAAAGTTATACTAGTTTAAATTCACTTTGAGGGTGAATCTCATAGAGAAAACAGCAGTTGTGACTCAGCAGTTGTTTTGTATACTTTTTTTTTTTTTGGTCTGATAATTAATAAGTGTTTCCCGCAGATGGTGGAGCAGTGAGCAGGCCAGAACTTGAGAGAACTGAGCTCACCCCAGGAGGGGAAAGAGTGCATCTATGTCATTAATAAAACATCGGGTACAGGAAAGTTATCCTGCATGGAGCCAAAGGAAGAAGCCATTGCTGGTGAGACTACTTCACCATTTGAAATAAAGGTTACTTTTGTTATTTACCATACGGCCATGGAGGAAAAGGGAAATCAGGGTATTCATTAAAACATGCTGCACACTGGAGAGGAAACCTGCTTAGAGACAGTCACACTGAGCTCACCAGGGTCAGAGAGGCAGAATCCTAGAATATTAAACAGGAACCGAGACAGAAATCTCTCATACCTGGATGCTGTTCCAAGCGCCGTGACCCAAGCTTGGAAAACTCCCATGAAGAATGTGAAGGGATTTTGTCTGACTATCACAAAATATATCAGCGGAAGAAAGATGCCTCCGTGGATGATGAGACCCACTATCACAGTGACCATGTACATCCCCAGCTGCCGCGCAACCACCTCCAAGTCAGCGATGGAGATGATCTTTCCACAAATGAGGCATGCAATACCAATAGGGGAGTACCTGAAGATACATACGTTTGTGATTAGGATTACTTTTTACATTAAATTCACATATGTCTGCAGGTCTATTGTTAGTATGTTGAATTTATTGTATATGATAGCTGTGGGATATTCTGCAACAATATCATTTCTGTGGGAGCAAAAATCAGTGGAATGGTCAGGCGGTGTCACTGAATGTGGAGTGAGACCTGTAGTGGACAGCACTTACCACATAATTGCACCAACAAGCCTCATAACAATCTCATTCAGGACGTTGAAAAACTCCAGCATCAGCTTGGCCTTTTCTCCCATTTTCCCCATAATGACTCCAAAAGCGACGAAGAATCCAATCAAACCTGCAAAGCACAGAATACAGTGAATTAGAATAGAGTGAAGTTTTTTTTTTTTTCAGCCAACATGGAAGTTAGTGTCACAAGAGTTCCCTCAAGTAAAAGCCAATGGGGTTTTTCCATTGGATTTTGGATTATTGCAAAAAATAAGATCTGTGACAAACAAAAGTTTATACTTGCACATTTGTTCAGCAAAATAATCTTCACAAATAATTACTTTTATGATTTTTGAAGCCTAAATGCAATCGCCAAAATAAAAAGCTAATGCTAGGTTATAAAAGAATGCATGACCATAACATCACCAAAACAAGAAGTCTGTGAAGCCATATTTGGCGTGATGACGCTCTGTAGTCTGTTGTAGCCACTTGTTTGCCATCATCTTTCTTAAGACACATGAGGGCTTTAAAATTTGCAAGTGGGGTATTTACTGACGTATTTTATATCATAGAACAAAACATATAAGTCACTTTAGCTTGGGTTAGCCACAAGCTTATTTCAGGCATCTCACCAAAACCCACTGACTTCAAGACAGTGGAGCCAGGAGTGCTAAAATGCAAACTTATTTCTGAGTTTTATGACTAAATGCTGGAGCACTCTATTGATAGGATAATGTAAGCTTAATCATCCAGACTCCAGGGCTGGTTTGCAAATTATTTTATCAGCTATGAAGCAACGAACAGCTGATCCATGAGTTACAGCTAGCTGGGCAACCAACAAGCTAACAGTAACCTAAGCTAAGGTTAGTCAGCAAGCTGTACACCGCATGAATTTCTGTGTAGTTTGTTAAGTGAACTGACATATGCCAAGGAGGAATTGTTTTTTGCTCTGTTTTGGTTGATGTACATATTAAGGCGAAGTTGTTGGTTTGACTATTGGTGCTTTCAAAAATATTTAAATATATATAATAATGAAGTGGGTAAAGGCAAATAACAACACAGTCTGATGAGTTCAGAAATGACATCACTTTACTGTGATACAGTCTTTAAAACTAAGAAAAGACAGCATTTATGCTTATACTTACTTATTACAATATCTAAAATCTAAGACAATATATATCACGCTATCTCTATAGTACCGACATAATGTCCTACCATACTATATATTATCTGAGTGTTTTCTAATAATGATGTAATTGAAACTGAAAAAATAACTTGTTTTCTTCAGCTACTGCAATTTCTTTTTCAGTTCTGCAGTGGGTGTGTTTTCAAACTTTTCACCTACCCAGGACATTCATCCCACTCTTGAACTGCAGCGACCTTTTAACTGTGAAATGTGGATGTGCTTTGGTTCTGTTAGTGGGCACTGGTACTTTAGTGGTTACTGTTTGGATCTGGACAAGAGGCAAAGAAAAGAACAAACAGTTGGAGAAACTGACATATGAATCACACATCATGTGGTGGGCGAACTCTTTCTGTCAGACGCCTACCTGCTGAAAGCAGGCCTGCACCAAGTTCTCTGGGAAAAGGTTTCGGATGAGATCGAAGAATGCGTCCACGCTGGACACGTCGTCGTTCTTCTTTCCCTGTCCGAGATTAGCTCTCAGCTTGGGGTTACCGGGATGGATGAGCAGCACCAGGATCACACCCAGGACAGCTGCGATCACCGTCGTCGACATGTAGTACACCATGGCCCTGGTGCCTAAGCGTCCACTGGATTTGGCATCCAAGCCGGCTAGTCCTGTTGGCATAGTATGATTTACAGGAAAAAAAGTAAGTGTCCAATATCTCTTCTTCTCTCTTTAACATATAGGGATGAGGTTGTGATTTAACAGAGTCAAATCTATGCATTTTCCGACCTCCTCTTTAGGTAGTTATTAATCACAATTAATTTGATCAGCTCCCCTCACTAAACATTTGCAAATGACTTCCACTCAGACCAGCTTGCAGCATTTGGACTGTGGAGCCTCCACGCATAAGGCTAACCTCATTTAGATAAGTGTTGTGTTTGTGACAGTCCCGTGTGTGAGGACATATTGTGCAAATACACTGGAAAAACTAATTTTCTCATGCTGTTTTCACTCACTGTTCATACTTATACCTACAAAAAATAAAGTAACGCTTTATAATTCATATATAACCCATGGACTCATGAGCCAGGAGGCTGTGATCAAGTGACCTATTCGCTGCAGGCTGTTGTCCATCATATGATGAGTGCAAAGGAGGGAGTCGGTTGACATCATATAAAGACAGAAGAGGTCTGCATAAGGAGGTGGTTGGGCAGATGGATGGGTCAAACAAACATGGGACTTTGACCCAGGAGACTGCTGTTTGTGTCCCGTGTGAAACCAACCCAACTGGCCACCATCATCTTTAGATGCTGATATTTGGTTGGATTTAGGTTGTGATGCTGGGTGATTGAAATTCGATGTCTGTCCATTGTTAATTTGATGTAGAATACTGACAATAATGTAATGTTAACGTTTTGATGGTTTAAAATTGTGTTGTTACGAAACCAAAATCCAACATTTTCCTAATGTTAATGCCAATGTCATCTTCACATGGAATAAGAACATTTATGACCACACAGCATGAAATTCTAACATTGTTAGACATTTAAAATATAGCCAACCCTTTACTCATTCCAATCAAAATTCAACGTCTGTCCGACAGAAGAGAAAGACGACATCTTTCTGACATCATTTTGACGTCCACTGCCAGCAAGGAAAAGTCAACAGTACATGAAATACATAACGTGTTGATGGTTTCCTAAACTTAACCTAAACAATAGGGGCTCTATTTTGTAAGATATTATGGGGCTAATTTACGACATCATATGAACAATGTGCATATCTTTTCCTAAGATATATGAACTTTGGTATGAGGATACATTGATGCTGGACCTCGAAATTTTTATTTTTTTTTAAGATATTTTTTGGGCATTTTTAAGCCTTTATTTGACAGGACAGACAAGCGTGAAAGGGCGAGAAAGAGAGGGAGTGACATGCAGCAAAGGGCCACAGGCTGGAGTTGAATCCGGGCTGCTGCGGCAACAGCCTTGTACATGAGGCGCCTGCTCTACCACTAAGCCACCGATGCTCCAACACCTTGAAAATTTAAAATGACTTGCTTCCAAAGTGAGATGACTCAGTCAGAAACTTTAAAAACTGCACTTTAATTACACATCAGTACATAGCTAGACAGTTGGACTTCGTTTGAATTCAAGGGTTTAATTACCCAGCCAGACAGGAAGTGATTTAAACAGTTTCTGCACTTTGTTGCCTTTTGTCTCAACTTCTGGAATAGCACATTATGAGTAACAGCAGTATTTATCATATGCAGGGTAACAGAGTTTGGTGAGGAAGGCTGGCCAGAAGTTGTGCACACTCTCAAAGCAGTGGAATGGCCGTACTGTATCTGTCAGCACACGGTACTGTAGACAACTTTTTGAATATAATTTGTGCAGCTGATTATTATTATCCTCATAGCTGGATAGCTGGAGAAAGATTTATATTTAGTTTTATCTCAGGTTATTAAGCTGTTGTCATAAAGTTTAGACCTGACAGCTAAAAGTGTCCGAGCCTCTACTTTTTAATTAGGCAGGTAGATTGTTAAACAGTTTTGAGTTATAATTAGGGACTATATTCAAAGCTTTGTTATCTTTTATAACAAAGTTTGTAAAGCAAAGTTGTGCAGTATCTTACAAGTGATTTGATGTGTTTGAGTTATGGCCACATAAATTGCAACATAAACTGAGTTTGTTTGAATAGGTCTACAGTGATCTAGATGCACATGAGTACAGCTAGAAAGCATAGCAAAAAGGCTAAACAAATTTTCCTACATTACAATAAAGGACAACCATATACTTTTTAATGTGTATTTCAGTGAAAATGTTGCCAATACAATTAGTATACAGCCAATCAAATATAAATATGTCCATATATTATATATCAATACATTTTATAGTCCTAATTTTATAAGTTTTCACTAAAATAGTTTTAATGGTGAAAAAACAATAACATCTGCACATTGTGCCAAAGAACTGTGCCTCCTCACAGGTGACATCGTTCATAAACAAGATGCCTGGAAAAAAAAAAAATCCACCTTCTCTCCTGTCTCTCCTGTTGAAACCCAACTCTCAGGTAGTAACAAGTCGCACCATGCGACCTCATTTGCAGCACCTACTGTACCTCACCCACCTGTGACCAGACTGGAAACAACAAGAGGCAGAATAAGCATCTTCAGCATCCTCATTAGGATCTCTCCGGGGAAGGCGATGATCATAATGACATCAGGAGGGAGAGGCGATATGTGCCGCAGCAGCATTCCAGCAATGGAACCCAGAAACACACCTGAGCCAGCGAGAAAACACAAATCAAGCGCCGAACCAGGTGACTCTGAGCTATGACATGCTAACCCTGAACACTGAAGGTGTCTGAGTATGATTCTATTAATGTGTATGTGATGAACAATCTCACCTTTTGCTCATGTGAGTCTTAATTAACATGACAACCGATCATCTAAGAGTCACAGTGGCATAGTGTTGCCTATAAATACTGTGATTATAATGTATGTGTCTTCTTAAGGTCACATAAAGAATGTTTCACCTTCATAAAAATAATGATGCAAAGAAAATATAACTTTGATCCATATGGTTTATTAATTACTGTACATCTGTCAACAGACATAGAAAAGAAAGAAGTGGTTGAAATTATAAAGAAGAACACTGAAGAGAGCACATTTTTCTTGTTTAATTTGCTTCTGGTACATTCAAATGAAATATTAAAGTAGCTCCTCACTTCAGTGTATCACAGTGTAATTTAGCTGCAGTATGAACCCAGAGAAAGAACACCATTAAACTCCTTTTCTTTTGGATGCTTTTAACATAAAGAAAGAAGCTGTGAACAATTTTCATATTTAAATGGTATTTAGTAAAAGGTTTTGGCTTCACGTAGGGCAGCAGCAGTGACTCAGTGGTTGGCACTATTGCCTCTCAGCAAGAAGGTCCTGGATTTGAAAGACTGGGGGTTTTCTAAGTGAAGTTAGGATGTTTTCCTCGTGTGGGTGGATTGTCTAATGCATGCTGGGAAAGGCTCCAGCCTTCCTGAGCAAGAATAGAAAATGGATGGTTTGTGGATGGAAGTAGCAGGACCAATAACTTACCGAGGATTGTGAGAGTGAGAACCATGTTCTTCATGATTTTATCACACAGAGAGCTACATGTGCTCTCAGGAGGGTCCACGATGGGCTCCAGGTGGGGCTCACCCATTCTGACTTCCACTTGCTTCTGCATTTTGTTGGCACTGAAAGAATTAAAGGAAGAATACAGATTTTTAAGTTTTACTGTGATGAATCAGACCGGAAGGCACCCTTTACTGCCTATATGATAAGCACCAGGCTTTCAGCCAGTGGTGAAGATACTGTACACCAAATCCCCCAAACAAACGGAAAGACGTGTCTGAACCCTAAACAGTCTGGCTTGCTCCAAGATCATTGTTTTTGAGATGGCAGCTGGGTCATAAACGTTACCATTTTACAGCTAAACAGTACATTAAAATATGTTTCTGAAAACATTTGAGGCAGAAATGGGCAATGCAGAAGAAGAATTTTTAATTCATATTTGTTCAGCTCTGCCTAGTTTGACAGTTTGATCTCAGTTTGCGATGGATGGACCTCATACTATGCATAAAATTCAGATAAATGGTCAATCAGTTCACCACGGTGTATCCATCATGCGGCTGACTCCCACTGAGAATAAATAGGATCTGTCAGTTTCACATATGTCAATAGATCCAATGTATTTTCACCATAACTCCAATGTAAACCCACCCACAGCAATATTTGACGCTCAGAGAAACTGATGCATTTCAAAGAGTGAGAAAGTCTTTGTAGGGTGTGTGGGAGGGAGGAGTGGATGAGTGGGTCTAATAACACAGGACTTCCACCCAGGAGACTGCTGTTTGTGTCCCATTGGACACCAGAAGTCAGTGCTCTTTTAATGTAACTTTACGTAGCTAACATAAAGCCAGTAATCTTTTAACATAATGTTACATAAGTTACGTCATGTCAGCGACATACTGACATCACGTTAGTTTGCATGTAACCATATCCTCAAAGCAAAGTACTTATTTTAACCTAAAACATGATGGCGAGTGGGCTTGACAAGGTGTCAGTATTTGACAACTTGAGAACTAGAACAGGTTGGATGAAATTATTTGCTATATAAATTACAAAGAAGCAGACATGCTTAGTGATTAAAATTCTATTTAATTACAGCTGCGACAAGACATTGTTAAAGGATGTTGAAAAACAGAGCTGGGGTTAAGTGTCTAGTTGGAGCTATGCCTTCTAGTAGAAGTATTATTACAAAGTGTGGAGTATGGAACAAATAGAAAGCTTTATCACAGCCACTTGCTGCTGAGACAACCTTTATTATTCACAGACAAAAAGTGGAAAGTTGGGTTGTGCTTTCCAACATACATTAACGCCATTTCCATTGGATAGTGGGAAGCAAGTGGGGGATCACATTCTTGTCACTGCAATGATCTTCTACTGTTTGGTCAGGGTGTGATCCTCAGGGATAACGTGCACTCATTATATCTTTCTATCCCTTGCTAAGAATTGAGTAGTGACACCATGTGCACCGGAGGAGACACGTCTGTCTAATACCCTCATCATGCCAACAATAGAGTTAGCGGTGACAAGATGGCAGCACACTGGATACTGAAGACTCAAAACAGGAGAGAAAAGAGGGCCCCCAACACACCAAAAGGAAAATAAAAAACAGTTTTGATGGCATTGTGTTTCAGTGCCAGAAAAATGCATTTGCGGGGTAAATTTACAATGTTGAATACAAGATTAGTTTTTCAAAAAAAGGTGATCACTGTGTCATTAAGTAATTAATGAGGGCACATGCACACATGATTGCATTCAATTAATTCTGCACACTCTGCACTCTAAATGCATGCAAAGTTGTAAAAAGTTTGCAGATGGCCTTTCATAATTAGCGACTGACATTTCCAAACAATTAGCACAGAATCAATAAAGAGCCTGTTTATAATCTGCATTTTAAACAAATTATTCCACTTTTACTCCATTTGAATAAACAGAACACCAGCTGTTACTCATATCCTCCCCTCTGCTTCTGCTGCTGTTGCTTCTGCTGGATGTCTATGCATAGTCATTTATGATAATTCCAGATACTCTGTGTTGAATAAAAACAACAAAACCTGCATGCGTTTGAGTTTTTTTTAGAGTTTTTTTTCTTCTGCAAGCAAATACTGTATGTATCAATTAAGTGTTTGTGGTGTGTAGTCAGTGATTTGGCCTCTTGTTTTCTGTGAGTTTTGAGGACTTGAATTGTTTAGAGATGCAAATTTCTCATCCTTCATCTTACTGCTTCGTCATCTCACCGAAGCAACAAGTAGCTCAGGTTTGTTGTGGTCTGCCGTAAAGCCTCTTTGACTTAAAGATCAGCTCTTCCCTGTGCAGCCTTTAAATCCTCTGTAGAGCACAGACGTGCGCGGTTATGTAACAGCGAATGCCCGTGACATTTGAACACTCTCAACCTTCATGACTTTAACACCTGGAATATTAATGCCAGCGGAGAACACAACAGAAAAATCAAGTTTCTCTCAGCAAAGGTTGTGGATTAAGTAAGAAACATTTCCTTCAGAAAAAGCACTTCCCTCCAGGACAGTCCGCAGTACAGAGCGGGGACAATGCCTCCCATCAAAAGCAGCAACATAATGTTCTCTTCTTCCCACATTCAAGAATTGATAATTCACAATTTGAATAGCTGGCTGTGCCAGACATTAAAGGGAGCAGGGAACATATAAGGTGAGGACAAAACAACTGCCAAGTCAATCACGCCTGTCTGATACACTGTGCTCTAGCATTAATGAGACTTAAGCCTTTTAAAGAGGATAAAATTAGTACCTCCAGCACTCAAGTGATTGAGTTATGCAACAGAAAAGGGGCTTCCCAGGAAAAGTCAAGGTGTCACCGTCACCCACCTGACAACTGTTATGTGGGAGATTACTCATTTGAATACCAAACTTCAGTGTTTGGACAGAGTTTCTCTTTGGTTTTGCACAACTAGGCACTCCGAGAACATTGGGAAAATCATTTAAGACCAAACAATGGTAGGCGGTTTTGTAACAAGAAAGAAAATATTTCTATCTTTTTCAATGCAAACTGAAGTCACACAACATGTCTATCAAGATCTTACAATGTTCGTTATGAAAGGCCAAAGGGCAGAACGTGACAGACTGTATTTGCTGTATTTAAAGAGTAATGACAAAGAAGTCTATTAGTTTATCACCAACAGGATTTCTACTGCTGTAAATCTAAACAGACATTTACGCTAACAGCAGTTATCGCTGGACACAGTAGACCACAGCTATCATTGCATCATTCATGCATCATTCAGTTTTAAGCTTCACTGGAGCTGCTGAACATTATTTTGATGGCCCCTCTTCAATACCACTGTTTTGATGACTCATCTCATAAATTACTACCACATCACTACGTGCTACTAATGATGCTTACCAGTTGTTTTGAATGTTGCTCTGGATTAAAATTAAATTCGTGGAGAGCTACTACACAGCCATCCGCGTCAGTGAAAAGAATAACAAAGTCATGGCTCATGCATTAGTAAATCCAGTCAGAACCTCCAAAAAAGTCTTTTATCCCCCTCGGAACGGTCTCTTCAGTCCTTAAAAATCTGCAGATCACTTCTTCCTCAGTGTTCAGTGTACATCCACAATCACAGATGCCTGCACATTCAGCCTCGGGGAGGTGCGTAAAGGTAAAAAGTGACTGTACTGGAGGTCTGACAGAAGTCTCCCAGACAGGAAGGGTGGAGTCAACCTGCTGAGATTAGCAAGGGAGGGAAAATCCTTGTTGGTGTCTTTGGCTGTCCAAAGACATCAAGCCTCAGGAGGCCCTGAATGAGTAAAAATAAGTGTTGGGAGTTGTTTTCCTTGACTGGTCCTACTTCAAGGAAAACAAATCGAGTCTGGATATTTTAAACAGCTTTTTAATTAGATAACATAAATTTATGAAATAAAACAAAAAAAAGGTTATTTATCTTGACACTTCTTTAAAGTACCACCCAGACACATTGAAATTTCCTACTAGGCTGATGTTTTGTTAAATATGATTTTCCAGATTTATTTTTTCACCCTCACTGAGAAATTCTGGATTCTGAATTTTTTGGATTGGATTTTTGCCATCACTTTCTCCAGTACTAGGTTGACAAGTAAAAATGGGTCTGCCAAGCTCTGACAGCCCAGTATTCCGAAACCCCAATAATCTGAAAATATGTCCAATTCCATTATCCCAAAATCAAACACCGATATTTTCGAAGGCCTTACCTGACCTGCCCTACTCTGCCTCTGATTGGCTAGTGCTCATTGCCTTCATTGGTTGGATTGATAGGGTTAGGCATGAGGAATGAGACTGGTTAGGGTTCGGGTAACAATATAAGGATATGCCAGTCAGAGGCAGAGTAGGACAGGTCATGCTTTCTTCATAGTAGGAAAAATATTGTTTCAGGGCCGACAGATTACAGGCCATGGATCTTTCTAACTACAGGATGAATGTGTAATTTCCGATCGTTGGAACTTCGGATCAATGGGCGTTTCTTTTTGGGAAAATGAGCCTTTGGTCCAACAGGACATTTTTTTCTAAAATATTGGGACTTTGGAGTAACGGGTCGTCAGAACAACGGCATGGCAACAGTAAAAGAGCAGTGTACAACAAGATGGCCGATGTTAGCATGTTAGCAATACATAATTTGGCCATACGTGTCTAAGCCTCAGTCAGACCCAGACCCAGAGGAGTGGAGTATTGTGCACCAAAATTGGCAACTAGTAGACATGTTAGAATGGTTGGTGTCGTAAGCATCTTGTGTTTGTTTGTGTATAATAATTTCTAATGTGATGGGTTTTTCGTAGCTAGTGGAAGAGAGCCCCAGAGTCTGGTTTCGTCCAAAAACTGCACTCTACCATGTGTGCTGTCAGTACTTTGACTATGCTAATGCTAACTCTCGCTCTCTGTACTGAGAAATCTGCTCCATGCTGGAGGTTTCAGATTTCTTCTACTGGTATTGTGTCAAAGTCTGTTCCCGATATGCGTTTCCCATATTAAACAGCGATTGCTTTTGTATCAGTGACGTACCCAATCTAGCATAAGTTTGAATCTCTGATATTAGGACGTGCATAGACATTGTCAATTTCACTTCAGGAATATGAAAATGCCACTCCAGTTACATCCTAAGTGCTATTTCGTAGGCAACTAGATTTGCTCGAGTATCTTGAAAAGAAAAAATATCGCACTGGTGGCAATGGTTACCATGACCTGGATGACTGAGAATCCTTACCAATATCTTCTTTGCAAAGATACAACTCAGTGTAGTCATGGTCAAACATTTTAGGAGACATGAATAGATGAAAAACACATTTCTGAGTGAAGAGGGACCTTAAGAATTCACATGATGCACTTGCAGAACATAGCACAAGAAGCACTGACATTTACTAAGAGCCACAAAGAGCACAGTTTGTAGAGCTTTCATCTGGCACAGCCTTTTCAAAAAGCATTGCCAAGAGTTTCAACAGCTGGGCTCTACTGTGTTTCCCTTGAATGATAACTCTCTGGGTCTAATGTGGCTTTCTCCTGTTATTAATTGGAGTCAGATAACACTTAATAATGGCTGATCAAATGTGTACTGTTCATCTGTGCCGCCGTGTGGAGAGTTTAACATGATTTAGTACTACTGAATGATGAAATGGTCTTCATAACATGACGAAGCCTCCTGCAAACTCAATGATTTATTTGCAGCGTTAAATTGTTTATGTGTATGCTTTATTAATATGTGAGCCAGTATGGAGAAAAGCAGAGAGTTAAGGGTTAATGTCAGGCTCTTAATTAATGTTAAGCATGAAGTTCACAAGAAACAATTAGTTCCAAATTAAGTGGCAAAAAGCTCCAAGGAGAGCTCATTTAGCAGAATAAAAGTTGATTGTGAGAGCAAAATAGAAAAAGTGATTGCAGTTTCCTCAACACATTTTTGAGTATTTAATCAGACGTTAATTATGGCTCATATTTGGGAAAGATTTCATATTTTTGACTAATTTTATTAGAGGGTTTAAGATGCAAATGGCTTGTCAGTTCTGTTCCTGGTCTTAAATATTGGATTGCTTGAGATGACTCGATAATTTTGATGAGAGCAAATAAAAAGCGAATCAAGCGAAATATAAACCTTTTATGATATTACAAATTGTGTGTTTATTATAGTTCCATAATATGAGCCTGAATGTTTTCCGTGCTGCTCTGCCAGCGCTGAATCTATTTTTTTACCTAAATCACTCAGCAGAGACCAGCAACAACTGCAACGAGTCAGGCCATGATTTTAGCTTTTTTTTTTCAGTGGTGCAGCTGTTTAGTGCTGCTTAATCACTGAGTGGCCTCAGTGTGATTATACTTTGAGACCACGGCTTCTTTTAGTTTCACAATGTGACAAGGCCATTGTACATGCAGTCATTGTGATGGTGTTGCCATGGCAGCATTTATTCTTTGATCTTATGTTGGGGTTACGGACTTTTCATATGGACGAGATGATTACTGAGGTGTGTATGGTCTTTGGAGCCATTTTAACATTTTGACAGTTGCCATGCTCCTGTGTGGTCTCAGTAATGATGATGTGCTGTCTGTTATGAGGCTTTAAGCTTTAGTAATGTTTATCTATGGTGGCCATGAGCGTCAAAACCCCCACGACATTTCGGAAAACAGAACAACATTTCACTGAACAGATTCAACAAAAAACATTTGCGAAACAAGATTTTAGAAAACTCAGCAAGATTTTATAAAATACAACATTTCACTACACACTTCAGTGTTGTTGGTTTTGTAAAATGTTTTTTTGTTTTTTTGTTTTTTTAAATGTTGTGTTTTCTAAAGTGTGTTTTGACCTTCAGGGACACCGTACTACTCCACGGTATACTTTACCCTTGTCAATGGAATCACACATTCGACTAAAAACATTTTAGAAAACACGGCAACATTTTATGAAACACAACATGTAACAAAACAAATTTTACGATACACTACAATGTTGTGTTTTGTGAAATATTGTGTTTTGTGGGAATTGTAATGTTTTGTAAAATACTGAGTTGTGTGAAATGTTGTTCTTTCTGAAATGTGATGTTTTGTTAGATGTTGTGTTTTGTGAAAAGTGTTTTCTGAAATGATGCCGCGTTGTGCGAAAACTTGTGTTGTGTGACATGCCATTGTGTCTTTTTAAATGTTGTGTTTTGTAAAATGTCATTGTTCTTATGAGATGTTGTGTTTTCTCAGGTGCTGTTGTGTCTTGACCTTCAGGGCCACCGTACCACTCCACGGTATAATTTAGTCACTGAAATGGGGCTATGAGAACTTTACCATGCTACTACTTTATCCCGTGACTTTGGAATCAAACAATTGCACATTTAACAAAAAACATTTGAGAAAAAACAGCACCATTTTATGAAATACAACATTTAACAAAACATGTTTCACAAAACATTTCACAACACACTACAGTGCTGTTGATTTTCTGAAATGTTGTCATGTTTTGTAAAATACTATTTTTTTTTTTTTTAATGTTGTTTGGTTTTCTGAAATGTCATTGTGTGTATTTTAAATGTTGTGTTTTCTGGAATGTTTTGTTTTCTGAAATGTTGTCATGTTGTGTGAAATATTGAGTTGTGTGACATGCCATTGAGTTTTTTTTTTAAATGTTGTGTTTCCTGAAATGTTATTGTGTTTTTTAAATGCTGTGTTTGTGGAAAGTTTTGTTTTCTGAAATTTGTTTTCTGGAGTGTTGTTGTTTTTGACCTTCAGTGCCACTGTACTACTCCTTGGTATAATTTAGTCACTGAAATGGTGCTATGAAAGCTTTACCATGTTACTACTTTATCCCTTGATTTTGGAATCAAATAATTGCTTGGTCAAATCAAAGGAGAATTAAATGCCAGCTGTCAGTGAATATTAAAGTACCAAATATCGGCTGGAGGAAACAGGCAGTTGCAGTTTGCAGCGTTACCAGGGCAAAAGGGTGTTGAGCAGGTGACACTTTATATCTGTGAAGTGTGTGTGAACATTCCCATCGCTGAGCTGCTCTCAGAGCGTGGACAGGGGGAAGAGAGATGATCTAAGAGCACATGGCAAAGCATTTGCCCATGCAATTCCACACCTTGCTCCGCCTTTTCTCCCCTCAGCACCAAGCCGACCTCATGCTGCAACACCTGACAACGCACACCACGCTTAGACGGTGCCTATAATTAACTAATCTGTTCTGAGCCACCCTAATCCAGCGCACATACACACCGATCAATCAGACACACTCGGAGAACAAGTCTGCAACAGTGATAACTAAGCATATTTCCACAAATCATGAAACAAAGCTCTCATTCTTCGGGTGCTTCGGTTGATAATGGATCAATTTGTGGCAATTAACCAATAATTAAACAATAATACAGATAATCAGAAACAAGTCAGCAATGTTGATCTGTGATTCAGGCTGTGTTATTATCTGTGCGAAACTTTAGCTCTCACTGAATTGTTGCTCACGTCTCTGCACAACAAAGTCCCAAACACCACAAATCCTACTCACAGGAACCACAGATATGGACCCCTAAAACTGACTAAATGGAGCACAAGGTCATTAGACACAAAAATATATAACTATCTACCTATAAATAATTCTGCTGGCTAAGTAATTAAAATGTGTAGTGTAAAAAGAAACAAAGCTTATTTAATACTTTACATTATACT